GGATCAGGAATCTGGCACGGTTCTTGCTGGGCTAAAATCAAGTGTGTTTGCGGCCTTTATTCATTTCTTTTTATTGAGATGAAATCTCACTCTGCCTCCCAGGCTGGGGTGCAGTGGTGCGATCTCGGCTCACCGCGGCCTCTGCTCCTGGGTTCAAGTGATTTTTGTGCCTCAGCCTCATGAGTAGCTGGGATTACAGGCGGGCATCACCAAGCCTGGCTAATTATTTTTTGGGGGGCTGGGGGTACAGAGTTTTGCTCTTGTTGCCCAGTTTGGTGTGCAATGGCGAAATCTTGGCTCTCTGCAACCTCAGCCTCCTGAGTTCAAGCGATTCTCCTGCTCAGGCTCCCGAGTAGGTGCGATTACAGGTATGCACCACGAAGCCTGGTTAATTTTGTATTTTTAGTAGAGACGGGGTTTCTCCATGGTGGCCAGGCTGACCTCAAACTCCTGACCTGAAATGATCCACCTGCCTCGGCCCTCCTAAATGCTGGGATTGCAGGTGTGAGCCACGGCGCCCGGCCCTGGCCCTGTTTGGGGCCTTTATTCTTCTGGTCACGGTGCTCGCCGCTGGTTGGGTGGAGGGCTGGTTTCAGGCAGGCGTCTGCTGCACGGGTTCCCTGCCCTGGCACACAGCAGAGGCTCCATGGCGCTTGATGGAGGAACGGTGGCACAGCCCCTGCCGGGATGACGGGGACAGGGACTATTTCCTTCCCCAGGAGGCAGCCAGGTCAGCCTACCTCTGGCAGCCGGCCTCCCCTGGGGGCCTGATTTTCCTTATCTGAAATGGGGGTAGCTGCGGCTGGGGCAGGGGGGTTGGGAGGAGTGACTGCACAGTGATGCCCCTGGGGCTTGGTTTACCTGGGACGTGAGAAGAGCTGTCAGCAGACCTCCCCGTCCTGGCAGGAAGGGTCCCTGTCATTCCTTCATGAGTCATTGAGGCTCCTGTGGGCGGAGGCCCCCAGGCTCCATGGGACCGGATCCTGAATGGAAAAAGGGGCCAGGAGACCTCACGGGCCCTGATCCAAGCCCACACCTGTAGAGGTCTCTGGGGAGAGGAGCTGGGAGACAGCAGGGTGCCTGTGTGTGGAACCAGGCGGCCGTGGGGCTCGGGGCAGGCTGCGTTGGCGCTCACCGGCCTGCTTGATCAACATGCTGCCCCGTCGGGGAAGAGCAGCGGCTTTTTGGTGTGTTTCGTATAAGGGGTGTCCGGCACTGTGGCGTTTCCCTGTAATCTCTGCACTTTGAGGGGCCAAGGTGGGAGAATCCTTTGAGCCCAGGGATTGGAGATCACTCTGGACAACATAGCAAGATCCTGTCTCTACAAAATGAAAATTTAAAAAAAATTAGTCCGGCGTGGTGGCTCACGTCTGTCATCCCAGCACGTTGGGAGGCCGAGGCGGGCGGATCACCTGAGGTCGGGAGTTCAGCCTGACCAACATGGTGAAACCCCGTCTCTACTAAAAATACAAAAATTAGCCAGGTGTGGTGGCGGGCGCCTATAACCCCAGGTACTCTGAAGGCTGAGGCAGGAGAATCGCTTGAACCTGAGAGGTGGAGATTGCAGTGAGCTGAGATTGTGCCATTGCACTCCAGCCTGGGCAATAGAGTGAGACTCTGTCGCAAATAAAGGCAAATTGTGAATAATGGGGCTGAGGGTTGGGTGCCCGGGGCCCTTTGTAGTATTCCTGCAGCTTTTCTGCAACTTGGAAATTATTTGAAACAAAGCAGGCCAGGCACGGTGGCTCAAGCCTGTAATCCCAGCACTTTAGAGGCCAAGGCGGATCACCTGAGGTCGGGAGTTCAAGACCAGCCTGACCAACATGGTGAAACCCCGTCTTTTTTTTTTTTTTTTTTGAGACGAAGTTTCGCTCTTGTTCCGCAGGCTGGAGTGCAATGGCGCGATCTCGGCTCACCGCAACGTCCGCCTCCTGGGTCCAGGCAATTCTCCTGCCTCAGCCTCCTGAGTAGCTGGGATTACAGGCACGCGCCACCACGCCCGGCTAATTTTTGTATTTTTAGTAGAGACGGGGTTTCACCATGTTGACCAGGATGGTCTCGATCTCTCGATCTCGTGATCCACCTGCCTCGGCCGCCCAAAGTGCTTGGATTACAGGCGTGAGCCACCGCACCCGGCCAAAACCCCGTCTTTAAAAAAATAAAAATTAGCAGGGCGCGGTGGTACTTTTTTGTACTAAAAGTACAAAACATTAGCCGGGCATGGTGGCGCGTGCCTGTAGTCCCAGCTACGTGGGAGGCTGAGGGAGGGGAATCGCTTGAACCCGGGAGGTGGAGGTTGCAGTGAGCCGAGATCACCCCACTGCACTCCAGCCTGGGTGACAGAGCGGGACTCTGTCTGTAAAAAAAAAAAATAATAAAAATAAATAAAGCAGAGGAGAGGGGACTTGGGAAAGGAACTAGCAGCAGAGGGTACAGCCTTGCAAGGTCCAGAGGTGTGAACCTGCTCAGCCCACAGAATGGGGCCAGTGAGCCTGGGGAGGGGTCAGCGAGGGCCAAGTGACGCAGGGCGGGCCGTAGAGAGCAGAGCACAGGAGGACTCAGGAGGGGCCAGGGGTCCTCATGTCTGCCCCGAGCCTGCAGGAAACCAGCATGTTCTGCTGCATGCTCAGAGAGGCTAAGCTACTTGCCCAGGGACACACAGCCAGTTTGCGGTTTGGTGTCGTTTGGACCAGGCCTGCTGCTCCTCCTACAGAGGGAAGGCAGAGTGAAGGCTGGTGCTGGGGCTGGGGCCGGGAGGACTGGGGTTGAATCGCCAAGCCTTGCCTGTCCCGGGCCTGGGGTTTCCTGGATTCCCAGGGACGGGGCCCATGCGCTCTCTCGTGGTCAGAGCAGGAATGACTGGATTCCTACCACTGAAAAGGCGAACAGGGGCCGGGCGCGGTGGCTCAAGCCTGTAATCCCAGCACTGTGGGAGGCCGAGGCGGGTGGATCACGAGGTCAAGAGATCGAGACCATCCTGGTCAACATGGTGAAACCCCGTCTCTACTAAAAATACAAAAAATCAGCTGGGCATGGTGGTGCATGCCTGTAATCCCAGCTACTCAGGAGGCTGAGGCAGGAGAATTGCCTGAACCCAGGAGGCGGAGGTTGCGGTGAGCCGAGATCACGCCATTGCACTCCAGTCTGGGTAACAAGAGGGAAACTCTGTCTCAAAAAAAAAAAAAAAACCCTAAATGCAGGCATGGTGCGGTGGCTCACGCCTGTCATCCCAGCACTTTGGGAGGTCGAGGCAGGTGGATTACCTGAGGTCAAGAGATCGAGACCAGCCTGGCCAACATGGTTGAAACCTCGTCTTTACTAAAAATACAAAAATTAGCCGGGCGTGGTGGCAGGCACCTGCAATCCCAGGTACTCAGGAGGCTGGGGCAGGAGAATCACTTGAACCCGGGAGGCGGATGTTGCACTGAGCCGAGATCGTGCCACTGCACTCCAGCCTGGGCGACAGAGCCAGACTCCATCTCAAAAACAACAAACTCTAAATGCACAGTCTCCAGCTCTTAATTCCTCAGCAGTCTGGCTCCAGTGCCTCATTTTGCAGGAAGTCCAACTCCAGCGATACCCTATTCATCCCTCAAAGCCCTGATTTCAATGTACTTTCCCCTCGGAGGCCTTTTGTGTCTCCCCAGGCAGAGCCAGGGCCACCCTGGAGTCCCATCCTCCGGTCCAGTCTCATGGGGCTGGAGGCGTCTGCGTGCATTCGGCACGGGGTCTGCTATGCAGTCAATGTTGAGTGAATAAAGAAATAAATGCATGATTGGGCCAGAGCTGACCTCAGAAATCACCCTGCGCTGGGTGCTGTTTCTGCTGCTTAATTTTCTTTTTTAATTTCTTTTTTTTTTTTTTTTGAGGGGGTCTTGCTTGCTCTGTTGCCCAGGCTGGAGTGCAGCGGCTTGATTTCGGCTCACTGCAACCTCCGCCTCCTGGGTTCAAGCGATTCTCCTGCCTCGACCTCCCGAGTAGCTGGGACTACAGGTGAGCGCTACCACGCCCGGGTGATTTTTGTATTTTTAGTAGAGATGGGGTTTCACCATATCGGCCAGGCTGGTCTCGAACTCCTGACCTCGTGATCCGCCAGCCTTGGCCTCCGAAAGTGCTGGGATGACAGGCGTGAGCCACCGCGCCCGGCCTCTACTGCTTAATTTTGTTTGACACTGTTTCCCCGCTTAAATTTGGAGGGGGGTTAGGTCTCCTGCGCTCTCCTGCCTCGAAAGGCGCGTGGGCGCAGCATCTTGGAAAGCAAGGCCACACCCACAGACCTCAGCCTCTGTCTGACCCCGGGCCCCGGTGAGGCACACACAGCACCCGAGTCCCCGGCCTGCACGCGTTTCGCAGCGCTGATGGAACGCCCGCCGGGCGTCAGGCGCTGCGGTGGGTGCGAACATCCCCGTGCTGCGCGGCTGGCGTTACAGTGCACGGGGTGGGAACCAGCGCCGCGGAGCAGGGGGGCGGCGGAGAGGACCCGGTGAGCTGGCACTTGAGCAAAGACCTGGAAGAAAGCCACGTGGGCGTCGGGGGAGGGGCACGGGGCAGGGGGCTAGGCCGGCGCAGACGCCCGGAGCGGAGAGAGCGCCTGGCGAGCCCCGGGAACAGTGGGGACAGGGGTCTGCAGCACCGTGAGGGGAGAGGACGAGAAGGCAGGGGAGCTCTGAGGGAAACGAGGGCCTTGGCACGTTTGAATGGCGAGGAGGGCCTCGGCTCTGCCCGCTCCGGCCCGGCTCCTCGTCAATTCCGCCTGGGCTTGGCCCCGCCCCTCCAGAGCCCCGCCCCCGCTCGGAGCCCCGCCCCGCTCGGAGCCCCGCCCCCGCTCGCAGCCACGCCCTTCGGCCGGGCCTACTTTGTCTCTCAGCGGCCACCGTCGCCCGGGCCGCCGCCCGCCGAGTGCGCAGCTTTACGCCGCTCCCGCGCCCGCACCCGCGCCCCGCCCCACGTGCCGTGCGTACCGTGCGTACCGTGCGTGCCGTGCGTGAGCGTGCGTGAGCGTGCGTGAGCGTGCGTGAGCGTGCGTGGGCGCGTCGGCCGGCGAGGGAGCAGCAAACGGCCGGCGGCGGGCGCCGCGCAGGGGGCGGGCGGCGCGGAGTAGGCGGCGGCGGCCATGGCCGAGGCGTCGCCGCAGCCCGGACGGTACTTCTGCCACTGCTGCTCCGTGGAGATCGTCCCGCGCCTGCCGGTGAGGCCCGGGCAGGGGCGGCGGGCGGTAGGGTCTGTGCCGCAGGCCTGAGGCAAGGCCCGGGCCGGGATGGAGGTCGCCGGCGCCCGCTTCTCGCGCGAGGTGGCCACGACGGGGAAACTGAGGGTCGGGGCAGCGCCGGCCCAGGGTGGATCCGCGGGGAGCCCGGGCGGTGCGGGCGCGAGCCCCGTTCTGCACATGCGGGAAACTGAGGCCCGGACGGGGGGAGGCGGGGCCTGGCCGGGGCGGCGCAGCGGGGTCGGGTGACCCACGTCCGCTGCCTGCTCGACCCGAGAGGCCGCGGGGACCCCAGGTGGGACCCCTCCCCCGGACCCGGTGAACGGAGAAAGCGAGGCCCGGCGAGCAGAGGGTGTTGCCCAGGGGCGCGGTGCGGGGCGCGGGCCGGGCCCGGCGGGGCGCAGACCCCGAGAATAACGCCAGGGGACCCCGGCCGAGCGCGCGGTCGGGGGGCGCCACTGCCTCGCCACAGGCTCGCCTCGTGGGGCCCTGGCCGCCGCCTGGGAGTCAGGCCCAGGCCCGGAAGGCTCCAGGCACCGTCCCGGCGTCCGACCGCGGCCCGCCGGCAGGGCTTTGGGCCCGGAGCCGCGTTCGTCCCCTCCCGGGGCTTGGTTGAGCAGCGCACCCCTTCTCGAAGTGTTTACAGCCACCCCTTGCCCAAGGGGACCCCGGGCCTGGGCGTTCCGAGTGTCACTTCCTGCTGATGTAGGGCGACGTTTCCCACGCGGACCTGATGTCACCTTGGGGGGAGGTGGGAGCGGTGCTCGTGGAAGGTGCCATTTCCAGGCCCCTTCTCCGAGGTTGCGGAGTCAGCACGTCTGGACTGGGCTCGGCAGCTGGCTTTGTTATTATTATTTTTAGGGACAGGGTCTCACTGTGTGGCCCAGGCTGGTCTTGAACTCCTGGGCTCAAGCGATCCTCCTCCCTCGGCCTCCCAAGGCGCTGGGATTACAGGTGTGAGCCACCGTGCCCGGCGGCGGTCTGCATTTGTAACCAGTGTTTCCCTTTCTCAGGCTCATGTGGAAAGTGGTGATTTCGTCGAGCCACGCCTGCAGATGGGGAAACTGAGGCCCGTGGTGGCTCAGCAGAAAAGTGGCAGAGCCTGCTCATTCGGGAGCTGCCTGGCCAACTTGAGGGGAGCAGGTGCAGGAGGTGGGGGGGGGGTGGACTCCCTACCCTGTGCCCACGGGAAGAGGCTGCAGGCGTTGAGGATTTTCCTGTGCTCTGTCTGTGTGTTACCACCCGGCTGTCGCTATGCTTAGGCTCATTCGAGGCGCCCAAGCCCTCCAGAAGCAGTAGCATTCCCTGGGAGCAGAGACCCAGAAAGGGGCTGGAGGGAGTCAGGAGAGACAGCTTGTGTCTTGGTCACGGAGGAGGAACCAGTGCTGGAGTTGGGGCATGGCTGGAGAGCAGTGACAGCCCAGAGTGGAGAGAGTAGAGAGATGTGGCTTCCTCTCTGCTGAAGCCACAGGGCTTCCCCTCCCCAGCAGGAGGAACAAATCAAGTAAAATCCTGGGTGTGGGGCGAAGATTAGGGAGCTGAGGCTGAGCCTTGTCTTGCTCCTGCGCCTCCCAGGGGCCTCACTCCTGCCTCTTCCTGTTTCTTGCGCTCCCTGGCCGTGGCAGAAGCGGTTGGTTGCCTGACAGCCTGCCTGCCGGGGTGAGTTGCAGGGCAGCCCCTCACAGCTGTGTGAGCCCTGGGACAGGTCCTGGGAAGCCCCTGGAAAGCCTGGAGTCATGTTGGAGGCGGCCAGCTAGGCATCCACAAAGCGACCCTGACCTGCTGACACTTCGCTGCTCTGGGAGCCTGCACAGGGCTGGATCCTGGTGTGGTGGAGCTACTTCCTGGCCCTGTGGCCTTGGACAAGGAGGACCCTGACCTCTTCCGACTGTCACTGGGCCTGGGGAGGACCTTCCTTTAGTCACGGGAACCCAGTGGTGTCTGGTAGTCCTGGTCTTTGCTCTCATGGAATTTATAGGCTGGCCAGGGAGCCAGCATTGAACAGCGATTGACAAATATTTAATCATGAACGTTGGTAAATAACTGCGGGGGGGGGGAGGTAAGGGGAGTGCCTGTCTTCACCCTGCAGTGATCCCGAGGGCACTTGTTTGTGCCTTTGGAGCAGGACGTAACAAGGTGCCAGTGGACAGTGTGGCAGCGTCAGGACTTCATTGTGCGGGCAAGGTTCTGTCTCTGCAAGACATTAAAACAACAATTAGTAGGGTGTGTTGTTGCATGCCTGGAGTCCCAGCTACTGTCGGGGCTGAGATGGGAGGAGCGCTTGAGCCTGGGAGGTGGAGGCTTCATGGAGCCATGACAGTGCCAAAGCACTCCAGAGCAAGACACTGTCTCAAAAAGAAAGAGAAAATGAATTTTCTGTGCTGGGAGGCGGGTGCACCTGTTGTTCCGAGGCAGGAAGGCTGCTCCAAATCTGGTAATGGGGAAAGTCCCCAGCCACCACCAGCAACCTCGAAATGGGCGTCTCTGCCGGTGGTGAGCTTGCCCCGACACTGAGTCTGAGGCGGCACCACTGCCGCTGAGACACCTAGGCTTGTGTCAGGAAGCTCCTACTGGCCTCTGACACGGAGGGCACTGGCTGCCAGGGGCTGAGTGCCTGTGTGTGGTGGCTTCTCCCAGGCAGCTGGGCAGTTGCAGGCCTCCATTGCCATTCTGGGCTCTGGGATCAGGCTGAGGCCCTGAGTGGCTGGGCCACTCTGATCTGGGTGGCCTTGGCCTCAGTCTCCTACCTGCCAGGCATGTTTGGTGATGCGGTCCCCTCCCGTGGCATCCGGTGGGTGCATGTGCAGAGTGGCTGGTAACTGGCCACTCTCTTGGCGGCTTGTGGTGAGGGCGCCCTGAGCAGAGAGCCACACTTGCAGTAGGGGGTTCTGGCGGTGGGGGCAGTTGTCCCCATGAAAGGCGGTGACGGCCGGGTGCGGTGGCTCACGCCTGTAATCCCAGCACTTTGAGAGGCCGAGGTGGGTGGATCACTTGAGGTCAGGAGTTCCAGGCCGTCCTGGCCAGCATGGTGAAACCCCTCTCTATTAAAAATGCAAAAAATTACCTGCGTGGTGGCAGGCAACTGTAATCCCAGCTACTCCGGAGGCTAAGACCGGAGAATTGCTTCGATCCAGGAGGCAGAGGTTGCAGTGAGCCGAGATTGTGCCACTGTGCTTGAGCCTGGGTGACAGAGGGAGAAGACTCTGTCTCGAAAAAAAAAAAAGAAAGGCGATGACCAGAGCCTCTGGGCGCCTGAGCAAAGGAAGCCTCAGCTGGAGTGAGGCGCGTGCTGCGGGAACCAGGCCGGCTGGAGCTCAGGCCGCAGGCTGCTGCACAGACCCAGACTCAACCCCGCTGAGGAGGTGCTGGCCGTGGTACTGTGGCTGTGGGGTTTGGGCGAGAGTGCCCCGTGGCAGGGACTCACTGAGGGCACTGCGCCCCCAGTAGCCGCGTGGGCTTGGCTGGTGGCCCTGGGTGCCGGGCTCAGCCCTGAATTCGCTGTCTCCAGGTGGTCTCTAGGGCAGTCCCAGCTCTGCCTGCCGACCGCCCTCCCCCAGCACCTGCGCTGTCTGCAGTGTCCCTCAGTGGTGGTGAGAGGACAGTGGGGGTGCCAGGTCCTGCTGCCCACGGTGATGGGGGAAGAGCTGCGTGGGCGGGGGCCTCCAGGAGGCGAAGGCTGCTGCAGCCTGTGTCACTGTTGGCGCTGGGCAGGAAGTCTCCCCAGCTGCCCCCTCTTCCCTGCCCCGCAGCCCACCCTGTCTCACCCTCTCCCCTGCCCCGCAGCCCACCCTGTCTTTCCCTCATCCCTGCAGTGGCCTGGCCCCCCCAGGCCTCCTGAGCAGCCCTGGCCACAATCTTCAGACGACAGCCCGAGTCCTCCCAGGCTGTGCGGTGTCTGTCTGTGGCTGCCGCCTGCTCTGTGTGTCTGCGGTTGTGCCAGACACTGTGACAGTGACTTCCGGCCAGCACCCTGGAGTGGCTCCACATGGCTGGGTTCTCGGGAACTGGCTCCCAACAGCACCCTGTGAGCATGGAGCCTGGCGTGGCATCGGGTGCTAGCAGTACCCAGGAACCTGTGGATGTCGGCCCTGCCCTCTTGGGCAGGCTGGCACAGGGGTCTGTGTTGGGCAGGTGCTGAATTTCCTCCCACTTGGAACTCTGCCACCATGAAGACCTTCCTCTGAGCCTCTGCCAAGCTGTAGCACCCAAGCACTGGCACGTATGGGCACGTGTGGGGTCCCGGTCCCTATGGCAGTGCCTGAAGCCTCCTGGGAAGAAGGAGAAGGCAGAGTTCCAGGCCTGGGCCTTGGCACCTCTGGGATGTGAGGCGGAGCCCCCACAGGCCCCAGCAGGTCCAGGCAGTGGCTTTGCTCATGCCTTCTCCGTCCAGCCCGCCCCAGGAGGCCCAGGACAGACGGTGTGAATGTGGGGTGTGGTGGCAGCTGCAGGCGCGGGAAGGAAGGGGTGCAAGGCGCCACACGTGCCCATGCCTCTGGGGCTGTGGGGCTCACACGCTGTGGATCCGCTGGGAAGCTCTGGGCTCCTGTAGGAAAGCAGTAGTTAGTCCCGGGGCTCCCGCCGACGGCTGCACCGTGACCTTCCCTGGGGCCTCCTGATGCGTACAGCTGCCGGAGGGGCCTGCTGCCCATGGGACCTGAGTCACCGTCGCTGGGCGGTCATCTGGGGCCAGCAGTTTCCCCAGCCCACTCCACGTGCCTGGCCCTAGGCCCTCAGGATGTGCAGGCCCTGTGGATGAAGGGCTCCTGCCGCCCTGCCAGGTCCCACCTGCGGATGTGGTGGTGGCAGCTCTCCCAGGGCTGTGCAGTGGAGGCCGGCTCCTCCTACCCTTGCTGCCTGGCCAGCTGTCGCTATGGTGACGACATGGGGAGATCTGGTCTCCTTCACCTGTCCTCCAAGGGAGAGGTGAACAGGTTCACTCCTGGGAGCTGTCCTCTGCTAGCTTCAGTGGGGCCTCTGTGGGGTCCCCCAGTGCACACCGGGCCCCCTTGCCTGGGCGCTTCTACCTGTGGTCTCTGCGGTTTCATATGAAACTGAGCCATCTCTGGGCTGAGCCCTTGGAGCAAGAGGGCGGCTGGAGACCCCAGTTGCAGCCCTTCCCACCACCTGCAAGCAGAGGCCCAGCCTCCAGCCTGGGCATCTGTGATCCACCTGTCACCAGCCTCGGTTCCGGTCCTTGGTGGCCCTGGAGGGGCTGGCCGGGGGCCTGAGGGACAGAGCCCAGGAGTTGGGTGGCAGCCTTTGGTGTCCTTGACAACAGCGGATTTTAGACACGAGTGAGCGTCGAGGCCATCCTCCATGACAGGGTGGAGGCTTGGAGCAAAGAGGTGACCTTTGAACCCCCTGGGGTGGGTATTCCAGCAGCAGGCGGATGTGCACAGGCCCTGACCATGGAGTGGGTGCGGTTCTGGGCAGCGTGGTGGCACCAGGTCCTACGGCTGCTGTGGGCGGGACAGCTGGGGCCAAGAGGAGGCCAGGGCTGGGGCAGAGAAGTGTGCATGTGGCCAGGTCAGGCTGTCACGAGCAGCGGTGCGGGTGGCGGGGAGCAGGATAGAAAACCAGGTGATGCACAGGGGCTGAGCTCCGCATGTCAGGACCACAACAGCCTCTGAGTGTGTGCGGGTCCCTCACGAGTGCCGTGCGGAGCTTCGCGCTTGCTGGGGAGAGATTTGGGGCTGGGCCTCTGAGCGTGGCAGAGCCCTCACGAGTGCTGTGCTGGGCTCCGCGCTTGCCCGGGAGAGATTCGGGGCTGGGGCTGGCAGGCTCAGTTCCTCAGAGGGCTTCTCCCTCAGATCCTTCCGGGGCTGCCCATCCCGGTGGGTGCACCTGGCAGGAGAGACAGCGGTCTGGGTGGCGGCACAGCTGACTCACGTCCTGTCCTGAGCGGGGCCAGCGCAGCTGCTCCAGGTCGACTGGGTGGTGCTAGCCTTGGGAGCCAGCCCTGCAGGGAGAGCCTCTGCCCTGAGCCCACCATGCCAGTGCCAGAGACCCACGCAGGCCATGGAGTGGCCCTGGGCTCCCAGTCAGCTGGCGGGCAGACGCCTGGAGACCCTCAGCCCAGAGGAGCCCTGACAAACCCGACATCCACAGAAACCAGGGGTTCAGATTTGACTGTGAAGTCTCAACATAGTTAAATGGGGCGTCTAAGTCCTGACACCCTAAACACACCCCCAAGAAACCTATGCCTGGGGGGAGTTGCCACAGCCACTGTGGCAGAGCCGCCCCTGCTTCTGAGCACAGGGCTGTGGGTGGTGGGTGTTGGCTCGCCTCTGGCTTGCTTCTTTCTTTCTTTTTCTCTCTTTTTCTTTTTTTGTTTCTCTTTCTCCTTTTTTTCTCTTTCTTCTTTCTTTCTCTTTCTTCTGTTTATCTCTTTTTTTTTTTTGGTGACAGACCCTTGTTCTGTTCCTCAGGCTGGACTGCAATGGTGCAGTCTCCGCTCATTGCATCCTCCACCTCCCGGGTTCAAGCGATCCTCCTGCCTCAGCCTCCTGAGTAGCTGGGATTACAGGCATGTGTCACCATGTCCAGCTAATTTTTGTATTTTTAGTAGAGACAGGGTTTTACCACGTTGGCCAGGCTGGTCTCGAACTCTTAACCTTGAGGGACCCTCCCGCCTTGGCTTCCCAAAGTGCTGGGATTACAGGTATGAGCCATCGCGCCTAGCCCTTTCTTTTTCTTTTGGAGACGCTGCCTCGCTCTGTTGCGGCCACCTCGGCCCACTGCAGCCTCTACCTCCTGGGTTCAAGCGTCCGACCACCTCAGCCTCCCTGGTAGCTGGGACCACTGGGCCTACGTATTCTAATAGCTTTATTTTGATATTTTCACACACCATACAACCCACCTGTTTAAAATGTTTATCGTTTGTTCATAAAGTTGCACAACCACCACCGTAGTCCAATTCCAGAGCGTTCTCATCACCCCAAAAAGAGACCAGCCTCGTCCCTGTCAGCCGTCACTCCCCTTCCCCCGCCAGGCCCCGGCACCCAGGATCCCTTCTCTCTGGATCCGCCTGTCCTGGATGCTTCATAGAAGTGGGTCCGCACGCTGCGAAGCCTTCTGTGTCTGGATGTCCTACTGGGCGGGACATCCTCAGGGTGTGCCACCCCCCCCCCGCCCCCGCGCCCGGCCGGGTCTCAACCCCGCCCCTCTCCGTGGTTGTGCCTGCTTTGAGCCGTTTCCATCTGTGGGTGAGACTGACCTGTGCTGCTGTGAACATCCACCACCAGCTTTGGTGGCGAGTGTCGTCTTCCTCTTTGGTGTGTGCCTGGAGGGAAAGCGCTGGGTCGTGGGGTAATCCCATCTCGGGGACTTCTGGGCTCCCGGCAGGCCTGGGTGGGGTTGCGCGCCTCCTCCTCACTGGCCTGGGAAGGGGCATCTCGCTGATGCTGGCCGGCTCCACAGGACTTGTGGTGGCAGCTGCTTTTCCACTGCACGTTTTTGGAGGCATGCCCCTTACGGGTCCTGGCCTGCTTTTAGCTGGGTTGTCTGTTTGTCTTTTTCTTTATTTTTAGAGGCAGGGTTTGCTCTGTCACCCAGGCTGTAGTGCAGTGGTGGGACTTCCTGGACTCGGGCGATCCTCCTGCCTCCCCCTCCCTAGTAGCTGGAACTACAGGGACACCCCAGCACGTCCAGCTAGTCTGTTTTTTGTAGAAATGGGGTTTGGCCATATTGGCTGGGCTCATCTCAAGCTCCTGACCTCAAATGATCTCCCCACCTCAGCTTCCCAAAGTGCGGGGATCACAGGCATGCTGCTACACCTAGCTGGGGTGTCTTTTTTGTTTGTCTTTGAGACAAAGTCTCATTCCGTCTCCCAGGTTGGAGTGCAGTAGCTCGATCTCAGCTCACTGCAACCTCTGCCTCCCGGATTTCAGTGAATCTCCTGCCTCAGCCTCCTGAGTAGCTGGGATTACAGGCTCGTGCCACCATGCCCAGCGAATTTTTGTATTTTTAGGGGAAACAGGCTTTTACCACGTTGGTCAGACTGGTCTGGAACTCCTGACTTCATGAGTCACCCACCTTGGCCTCCCAACGTGCTGGGATTACAGGTGTGAGCCACTGCACCCAGCCGCTTATTTATTTATTTTTCTTTTGAGGTGGAGTCTCACTCTGTCACCCAGGCTAGAATGCAATGGCGCAGTCTTGGCTCACTCCCAGGTCCGAGTGATTCTCCTGCCTCAGCCTCCTGAGTAGTTGGGATTACAGGCGTGCACCACCACATCCAGCTAATTTTTGTATTTTTAGTAGAGACGGGGTTTCACTATGTTGGCCAGGCTGGTCTCGAACGCTTGACCTCAGGTGATCCACCCGCCTCAGCCCCTCACAGGTGTGACATCACACCTGGCCAGCACTTTTTATATATTGTAGACAATGTCTCGTCACCCTCTGCTCTTCTCCCCTCGGGCTGGTTCGCATGCTCCTGGGGTCCTTTGGTCACCTGGTCCCGGCCTCTTCTACCCGCCCAGCCTGTGCTTCAGCGGCAGGGACAGTGAGGCGGGCATGACTCAGTGTGGCTGCAGGACCCAGCTATTGGCTCTCCCCTTGGGCACTGCCCTCCAGGCCCCCATTTTGCCCCAGAGTCAGTGGGTGAGGCTGGGATCATGCTTGCTGGAGAGGGGACCACAGCTGGCCAAGTTCCAGTCACCAAGAAACTGTGTCCCCAGAGTCTGGGGTCCCCAGGAAACCTGCATCCCTGGAGCCTGGAGTCCCCCATGGAACCTGCATCCCCGTAGCCTGGAGTCCCCCCATGGAACCTGCATCTTCAGACCCTGGAGTCCCCCATGGAACCTGCATCCGTAGAGCCTGAGGTTCACCTTGGCTCCCCTCACAGCAGTGCCCCATGCACCATTGGAGCCTCCTCCTGTTTTTGTCTGTGTTACCTGGGGTTGACCTGGCGACCCCGGTGCGAGTCCCTGATTGATGACATGTGCTGTGTAAGGCCATTTTCACGTTGCTGTAAGGAACTTGAGACTGGGTAATTTGCAGAGAGAGGCTGATGTGGCTTCCGGTTCTCTGGGCCACGTAGGAAGCATGGCGCCGGCATCTGCCTGGATCCTGCTAGGCCGGAGGCACCACATGCTTTTCAGCCCATGTCCTACGAACACTGGGCGCTCCGCATCAGCAAGGGCCAAGCCATCCATGGGGGCCCGCCCCGCAAGCTGGCGCCTCCAGCAGCCCTTCCAGCCCAGGGTGAGGTCTGCAGGGTCCGGCTTCCAAACCGCCGTGTGGCCTGCCTGGCAAGGCTGTGGCTTGAGGCCAGTTCTGGGGAGATGTGAACTTGGTTTTGGGGCTCATATACAGCTGTCCTCTGGGACATCACCGTGTGGGCCTTGCATTGGTCCTTGGCTGTAGGGGGACCTGGGGATGGGGTCTTGCATGGGCGTGGCCAGCATGGGCATGGCCTCCCCCCAGCCAGGGGAACGGGCAGTGTGGGGCTGCCACAGCATTCTGGAAATGCCCCTCTGTGATGTCCGGGCAGTGCCTCCTGTGCAAGGAGGTGCCAAGGCACTGGCGATGCCTGCCATGGGGGGGCAGGCGGGGGTGGCCCAGATCACTGGGAGCCATAGCAGGATCAGTTGGTGGCCGGCAGAGCCAGGTTTCCTCGGCCTTGTTGAGGGCCCTGCCTGCCAGGACCCACGGATCGGGAGTGGCCCCTGCCTGCGAGTGCCTGTCCAGCCAGAGACCGCTGGGCCAAGAGCCCCACTGTCCTCGCCCCTGAGGGGATTTTGCAGGTGACCTTGAGGTGGTGCCTCCCGTTCTCTCCTGCAGGATTATACCTGCCCAAGATGCGAGTCTGGTTTCATCGAGGAGCTTCCAGAAGAGACCAGGTAATACAGCCCCTTGTTCCAGAGGCTGGAAGAGGCGTTGGAGGGGTAGAGGGCCCGCTGGGTCTGTGGCCAGCAGGGTATGACGCCCGTGGCTCAGAGCGCTTGCCTCTGTGCAGGCCACAGCATGCCGTTCCCATCTGTGATGGCCGGGTCGGGGCCAGAGGGGAGGGCCGGTGACCTGTGGTCTGTGATGACCAGGCCAGGGCCCCATGCAGCCACTCACTTCCCCCAGCCTCAGCGCCTGATCTGGTAACCCAGGCCCTCGGGTAGGGGCCGTGGGGGCTCTGTGCACGTTCTCACACCCGGGAGGTTGTTGGGGTCTGCACCGGTTTACAGAGACACCTTGTGGATTACGGGCGAGGGAATAAACAGCGGGTTATGGCTCCAGATGCTGGTGTGAGGCCACCCACACACATCAGGGTCGGCTCCACGTGGCGCTGTGGTGAGGGTGGCCCAGGGGACTCCCTAGGTCTGCGGTGTTTCCATCGTGACCGCAGGGTTTCTTCCTGAGGTGGTGGCAGGCAGGAAGCTGTGCTGAGGACAATTTCTGCTTTCCCAACACAGGCCTTTGAGGGGAGGGAGCGCCTGGCACGTGGGGACCCGGGGTGGTTCTTGCTGCTGACACGCACTCTCTCCCCAGGAGCACAGAAAATGGTTCTGCCCCCTCCGCAGCCCCCACGGACCAGAGCCGGCCGCCACTGGAGGTGAGCTGCCCCCGGCCGTGCTCCTGAGCCTGTCGGCCTTGGTCGGGGCCCCACTCACCTCCCAGGGCTCTCCCTGCCTGCACAGCAGAGGACATGTGTGCCTGCCGGGGCCAAGGCCGGGGCTCACGGGTGGCCCGTGCTGCTTGGTTGGGCTGATGGTTTCTCACGTGAAGGTGAAACTTCTGTCGAGGCGTCTCTCTGCCTGTTTTCTCCTTTGTGTTGGTCCCCTGGCGCCTCCAGCAGACTGCAGGGGCCTGAGCCCCCTTGGCCGCCCCGGCCGCTGAGCCTGCGCCAAGGTCACACCCCCCTTCTCTCCCCAGAACGTGGACCAGCACCTGTTCACGCTGCCTCAGGGCTACGGACAGTTTGCTTTCGGCATCTTTGACGACAGCTTCGAGATCCCCACGTTCCCTCCCGGGGCGCAGGCTGACGACGGCAGGGACCCTGAGAGCCGGCGGGAGCGAGAGCACCAGTCCCGGCACCGGTACGGCGCCCGGCAGCCCCGCGCCCGCCTCACCACGCGGCGGGCCACCGGCCGACACGAAGGCGTCCCCACGCTGGAAGGGTGAGGGGGCCCCGGGGGTGGCCGAGAGGGTTCCACGCAGTGAGGTTGTAGGTTCCGGTGCTTAGAGTCCAGCACAGGTTCCATGGAAGACTGCGTCATCTGCAGGCTCTCTTGAGAGACCGCCTGGCCAGGCGCTCCAGCACCCCCTGAGCCGGCCCACGCACTCTCCGAGAGCCTCGGGCTGTGTCCCACTGGGAGAAGGGGCCCCACACGGCCCTTCGGAGACAGAAGTGTGCTGATTCCGGGTGTGTGGGCTGACCACAGAGTGGGGCCCACGTGCACGGGAGGCTGCTGTCCACGTCCGTGTTGTCAAACGCTGTCCTGGCCTTGGCCTGGACCAGAGCCTGGGGGACGTCGCTGGGCCCCACTGCTGGCGGAACAGAGCCTGGGGGACATCGCTGGGGCCCACTCTGGTGGAACAGAGCCTGGCGAAAGTCTCTGGGCCCACTCTTGGCTGTTGATCCTTCTGTGGTTGCGTGTCTCACCTGCTGGAAAAGTCATCTTTAAAAGTGGCTAGTTTTGCCAGGCGTGTGGCTCAGCGCTGTGATCCCCGTGTTCTGAGGGGTCGAGGAGGAAGGATCACTTGAGAACAGGCTTTCACAAGCATTCTAGCAACATGGGGGCCCTGTTTCTAACTCTGAAGAGGTAGCCAGGAGCGGTGGAGCTGTGCTGTGGCCCCAGCTTCTCGGGAGGCTCAGGCAGAGGATGAGCCCAGCAGGCCGGGGCGGCAGTGAGCCAAGATGGAGCCGCTGCTCTCCAGCCTGGGCGTCAGAGTGAGATCCTGCTCATGAAAAACAAGTAAATAGAAACTAATTTAGAAGCCGATGCTGGCTCTGCCCTTGGTGCCCACCACGGACCTGGCAAGCCTGGCCCTCTCCTGCACGTGGGGCGGCCTCGCCCCATGACTGGCCCCTCTCTTCCAGGATCATCCAGCAGCTCGTTAACGGCATCATCACGCCCGCCACCATCCCCAGCCTAGGTCCTTGGTGAGTAGGTGGGGGCTCCTGTCCCCACCCCCAGCCGGTACCCCTGGTTGAGAGGGGTGGGGGAGGCACCTGCCCTGGCCGCCCCTCAGCCACTCGAACCCCACCTTCCACCCCCAGGGGAGTTCTGCACTCAAACCCTATGGACTACGCCTGGGGGGCCAACGGCCTGGACGCCATCATCACACAGGTACAGTGTAGCCACTGCCCGGAGTGCCTGCTGGGTGCGGGGCTGGGCTGCCCAGACCCAAGAAGCCCCACAAGGTCAAGGGGGGTTGGGCATGGAGGCAACTCCGGCCTTCCTCCTGCCGTTTCTGAGTCTTGGCACCCTTGGGGCTTCTCCTCCTGAGTTCACGCGGAGGAACACTATAGCAAAACCGCGCAGAGGACTCACGCAGCCACACGGTCCCCAGCCCCTCTCCTGAGAGGTCGCACCCTGACCTGGTTCCAAGCGCTGCCAGTCCCAGCTTCGCTGAGGGCCCTTGGAGCATTTGGTCACTGGCAGGGCCTGCCCCTCATAGCAGCTCACCCCACTCTGCCAGCAGGGACCCGGGAGCAGGGCAGTGCCACGTGGGTGCCACGGTGGCCTTCACCCCGGGGCGGGCTCCAGGGGCCCCAGGCCCAGGACAAACGCGGCCTCGGTGCTTTTGCAGGTTCTGCAGCCTCGAGTTTCCGAGCCCCGGGCCGGGCCCCTGAGGAGCTCCTGCACTCTCGCCTCTTGTCTTTCAGCTCCTCAATCAGTTTGAAAACACGGGCCCCCCACCGGCAGACAAAGAGAAAATCCAGGCCCTCCCCACCGTCCCCGTCACCGAGGAGCACGTAGGTATGAGAGCCCAGCCGCACCGCCTCTGCCTTCAGGGTGTCTGTCTTCTTTGAGACGGAGTCTTGCTCTGTGGCCCAGGCTGGAGGGCAGTGGCACGATCTCAACTCACAGCAACCTCCGCCTCCCGGGTTCAGGCGATTCTCCTGCCCCAGCCTCCCAAGCAGCTGGGATTACAGGCACCTGCCGTCATGCCCGCCTAATACTTACAATTTTAGTAGAGATGGGGTTTCACCATGTTGCCCAGGCAGGTCTCAAACTCCTGACCTCAGGTGATCCGCCGCCTCGGCTTTTCAAAGTGCTGGGATCGCAGGCATGAGTCCCGTTGCCTGGCCTCGGGCATTTTTGTGAAGGTCGGCTTAGAGGAGAGGGTTCCGTTTAGGTCCCTCCAGCGGCCCAGGGGGCATACACAGGGCATACACCCCCTGGCTGAGCTCGGGGCTGGCCTCTGGCCGAGGCTGTGGAGAAGCGCGCCCTGGAAGGCTTGGCAGGCCCCCACACCACCGTGACCGCACCCCCCACAGGCTCTGGGCTCGAGTGCCCCGTGTGCAAGGACGACTATTCGCTGGGCGAGCGCGTGCGGCAGCTGCCCTGCAACCACCTGTTCCACGACGGCTGCATCGTGCCCTGGCTGGAGCAGGTGAGTGCCCGCCCGCCCGCCCTCGCCGCCGCCGCCTGCCCTCTCTAACCTGCCCCTTTTCCCACCCTCGCCTCTGTCCCCACAAAGCACGACAGCTGCCCCGTCTGCCGAAAGAGCCTCACGGGACAGAACACGGCCACGAACCCCCCGGGCCTGACTGGGGTGAGCTTCTCCTCGTCGTCCTCCTCCTCCTCCTCCAGCTCGCCCAGCAACGAGAACGCCACAAGTAACTCCTGAGCCCGCGCCGGCCGGCACCCACCCCTGCCCACGGCGCCCGAGGCTGCGGCGAAGTGCGGGGCCTCTCCCCCAAACCCTCAGCCGGTGCCGCGTGGCACCCGCAGACCGGGTGCCCCCGCGGTGCCGCTCTCGGCTGGTCAGCACTGCGGCCCGGCCTGTTCCAGGGCAAGACCCGGGCCCGGCCCACCGGCCCCCTGGCTTGGGAAGGCGTGGCCACACGGCCCCTCTGGGGCACCCCAGCCTCCCTGTCCTGTCTAACCTCACCCTTTAAACGTTCAGCGGCGGAAAGATTTTTATAATTTTAAATTATTACTGCTTTGAAATAAATGGACGTTTTAGCTCACATGGCAGCCATGCATGATCTGTGGCAAGACGGGGCCCAGCTGCTCCACCAGCGCTGTGAGCACCGCCAGGACAGCCGTGTGGGCCCCCAGCCTCCGCCTCGGCCGCCTCCACGACCCAGAGTTTGGGGGCTCGGGACCATGAGGATGACCAGCAAAATTCAAGAACAAAACTGCTCCAGCAGACTTTTTTAAAGGAAAAAATATGTGTATCTTGAAAGCTATTTAAAATACACCACTTACAAAGAGAAGCAGGTGGCGTGGCTTTCCTTCTGCGCCCGCGTGTCAGGAAAGGGCCGCAGAGCTGCGAGGCTGGCTGGGCTCTGCAAGGCTGCGTCTGCCGCCAGGCGTCTATGCCTCCTGCGGCCCAGGGCCCAGGGCTCACTAGCGAGCTCAAAGCTCAGGCCCAGGAGGGCCGACCTGGCGACGCTCCGCAGGGTGGCAGTGCTGCTGGGCTGTGAGCGTTAAAAGTGTCAGGGCCCAGCACCTCCACCTCACCCTTGGTCACCCCTCCAGCACTCGGGGCCCGGGCCCTTCTGAAGAGCCACGCCTCACAGCTCAGGGCGGTGGGATGCCTGGCCTGGGCGCAGCGGGCACCGGCACAGCTGGTGGGGTGTGGGGGCGTGCGGGCTCAGGGAGCCGGGGCGGTGGGTTCATCTCAGTTGCTGAAAATCCCACAATCCCGGGACCCAGGCGTCAGGCGGCGTAGATGGATAACAAAGAGGAGACTCCGCTGTGGACTGCTCCTGTGAGTGGGAGGCACGTGCCCCCGCCCCCACCTGTACTCCAGAGCTCCTGCCCCCCGCTCCACTCCACGCTCTTCACCGGCGTGTGCCGCGACGTGTCTGCGTCAGCCCCCTCGGCCGGGCACCTCGGATCCCGCCTGTCTGAACCGCGCCCGGCAGCTTCTGGGCTCCTGCTGCAGAAACAGCGCTGCGGTGAGCCCTCTGGAGCCCGAGAGCAGCACTGTGACTTCGGCGAGTGTGGTCAGCAGGGCAGAGTGCCAGCCCCGGGAATGGCCAGGCCGCCTGCCCGGGACCCACAGGCTCGGCGCCCGGCGACGAGGTTGCACTGAGGACGCCGACGTAGGGAGGCGACTGGATCATCCCTGACCTCGGGACTTCTGACCTCTGCGCTGAGAGAACAAATGTGTTTCAGGCGCCGAGTCTGCGCCATTCCCGCGGCAGCAGGTGGGGGCTCCTCCAGGCTGAAGCCGGCTTCCTGTTGGAAAGACGGAAGCTTTGAGTCGGGAGGCATCTGGGGAGACGAGGCTGAGGTTCTATGCGTCCATGGTGCTTCTTGGGAGTTGGAGCTGGAGGGGAGAGCGGGGCAGGGGAGGCCTGGGGCCTTAGCTGGAGGGCCATGGTCAGAGGTGCTGCTGGGACACGTGTGCATGCACGCAAGGCTGGGACTTCCCTCCTGCGGGGTGGCCGGAGGAGCAGGGCCGGCCAGGTCGCCCCACCCAGGCACGAGCCTCAGGGCGCTGGGCCCGGAGGACACTGGCACCCTGGTGGGGGCTGTGAGGCCGCATTGCTCGCAGATGAGACAGCGGTAACAAGTGGCTGACCCCGGTGCCTTCACCACCCGGGAGCCTGCTGCACGGGCGGAGGTGGCGCTGAGGTCCGCACTGCTGTGTCCCGGGCCCCTGGGACACTGCCAGCCTCTCCCCGTCGGCCCTGTCACTCAGGGGTTTTGTGTAAGCGGAAGCACAGTTTGCAACAGTTTGGGGTTGGCTCATTTTGCTGCTGGCAACTTCCTGGAGAGTGGCTGGTGCCGTGCCCCCGGGCTGCTCCTCTCTCTGTTGTGGGGCCCCCGCCCCACTGCCTGAGGATGCCGGAAGCACCCAGGTTCTGGCCTGTGAATCAGCTGCTAAGAGCATCTGCGTTCTGGCTTCCGTGTGAACAGGGGTGTCTCTGCCCTGGGCTGTCAGTGCCCAGAAGTGCTGGCTGCATGCTCGTTTCACATTCCGGTTTCGAATGAACGGCTGACCCTTTTCTCTGCAGCATATGTAACGTTTCTGCATGGGTGCCAGCAGTGGTTTTACCTCAGCGGTGGACCATGTGCAGCCCCAAGCAGCAGAACTCAAGCAGTGATGCCCTCTGAGCTGGCCGGCGGGGCAGAGCTCCCTCACACTGCCACCCTGGGGCCGTCCTGGGTGCGGCAGGGTGCTGAGCCCGGCCCCGGCCTCCACCCACTCCATGCCAGCCAAAAGCGTCCCCTGGGGTGGGGTCCCCTTCTCTGCAGGGTGAGCAGAGGCTCTTGGGGGGTGGGCACAGCCCTCCCTTCCCAGAAGGGTGTTTCCTTTCAGGCTCCCAGCAGGTGCCCGGGCCCAGTTGTCCTGGATGTATGTGGAAGGCAGCGGCTGGGGCTGGAGCCTTGGCCATCCCTGGGGACTGTCCCCTTCACCAGGAGGAATGCTCCCTGCCCGGGCAATGGTGCTGTCACCCCATGTGCAGACCTGGAGATGGGCGCAGGGGGTCGGTGCCTGGCCCGAGGCTGTGGAGCAGGGGTGGACCTGAGCTCTGGGCTCTGCCCTTTTCTCTGGCTGGAGTGTGACTCCCAGGGCTGCAGGGAGAAGCCCCAGCAGAATCAGGACGTCCGGGGAGCGCTGGGCACCGGTGAGGCCGCCTGCACCCCTTGGCCGGCCCTCCCTGCACCCTGCAGGATGGTGGCACACAGCCCCCGGGCCTGCCCTGCACCGGCAGGGCTCCTTCCCTCAGCCTCTGCCATTCCCGGGGGGTCCAAGGAACACTGAGGCTTATGTCATCGTTGAAACAATTTCAGACACTGCGAATTTCTGGCATTGCAGTAACGAAGGACCGCACACTTGACGGCTTAAAGCACAACATTTATTTTCTGGCAGTTCTGGAGGGCGGAGTGCAAGATGGGTCCCACTGGGCTAATATCAAGACAGAGCAGTGCCTGTCCCTCCCTGGGGGGCTCCAGGGGACCGTTTCCCACCTTTCCCAGCATCTGGAGGCACCCACATCCCTCGGCTGGGGGCCCTTCCTGCCTGTCATGGCCACAGCACAGCCCATTCCCATCTCTCTCTGGCTCTCACCCTCCCGCTTCCTGTGTGGGGACCCCCTGAGGACACTGGGGCCCCGGACCCTCCACCCCAATGCCTGCCCGTCTCCGTCCCACCTGCAGGTCCTTTTGTCCTCGTCAGGCACCGAGTCTGCAGATTCCCGGGACAGGAACGGCTTCGAGGTCTACGTCACCATCCCCCGGCCCCTTCCTCACCCTTCCCCTTCTCCTCTCTCCTGCCTTCCCCTGAGCGCTTGCCTCCGCGGGGCCCTGCCGGGGACACCTCCTCCACCTTTCAGGGTCCGCATCTTCAGCCCAGGAGGCGCCGTTCGCTCCTCGAGGCCCCATCTCAGGACTGGACCTGACTGGTGGCCGCCCGCCCCTCAGGCTGGGGCTCCCTCAGGGGCTCCTGTGCTGTGTCCCCAGTGCCTGCACACAGTGGGCACTCAGCGCTCACGGAGCCAGCAAGGGGAAGAACGGGTGTGGCTGGGGCCCCTCGCCGCCGGCCCGGGCACCTTCAGGAGCCGCTCGGGGCCTCAGGAGACCAGGACAGGCAGGAAGTGGGTGGACAGGTGGTGCCGCTGCGTCCGGCCGCCCGGCCGGGGCCCCCCCCTCCTGTCCAGTGCCAGGAACATGGGCTGGCCGTGGTGGCGCCAGCGCTGAGAGGCGTAGGTGTTGTGGCCGTTCTCTTCGATGCGCTCCCGGAACCTGCAGTCGACAGTGTAGAGCCGCTGACGGGGGTGTGAGGCCGGCCGACCCTCCCCACCCGCCTGCGCCGTCCAGCCCTACCCAGCACTCACCGACCCGTAGAGGCGGCCCCGGTGGTTCATGGCCACGTAGAAGCCTGACGACACTGCTTTGATGGCCACGACACCCACGCGTACAGAGCGGATCTCCAGGATGCCTGGGGGAGGCGGGGGGCAGGCAGGGCTTTGCTGGCTCAACACCTGCTCACACTGGCACGAGCTCACCCTGAGCGCCGCTGGGTGTCCACTGTGCTGCTTGCAGGGTCCCCAGGACCACGACAGGCACCAGGAGCCCCCCACACTCAGACCACGATGGACACTCGGGAGCACCCTCGAGACCATGACGGACACCCAGGACCACCCCTGGGACCACGAGTCCTCTCCCGACCACAACAGACACCCAGGAGCCCCCTACCCTGAGACCGTGACAGACACCTGGGAGTCCCCCCAGCCTCCGGACCACAATGGACACCAGGAGCACCCCCCCGGGCCACGACAGATACCCAGGATCCTTTTGGGGACCATGAGGGACACCAGGATCCCCATCAGGACTACAATGGACACCCAGGAGCACCCCTGGGACCTCGAGTTCTCTCCCGACCACAACAGATACCCGGGAGCCCCCCCCCCAGGACCATGATGGACACCAGGATACCCCCAGGACCATGATGGACACCAGGATACCCCCAGGCACCACCACAGACACCAGGAGCACCCCCAGCATGTGAGGGAGGAGTCAGGAGCAGTCGGAGGGAATGGAGGTAGGACAGCCCCCATGAGCTGCAGGGAGTGCAGGGATTGATGAAGACCCCATGGGAGAGCCCACCAAGCCAGGTCAGCCCAAGAGCAGCATCTGTGCAGGGGTGTGGGGGGTCCTAGACACCCAGAGGGACACCAGGGGTGCAGGAACCGACGGAGGTGGGAGTCAGAGGGGTCAGGGCCTGCCCGGACTGCTAACAGTAAATGGACCCAGCGACAAGTGCCACCCCATGGAGCCCCCAGTCCCGGCACTCACAGCTCAGCAGCTCGGCCCACGCAGTCACTGGGACTCGGAGCTCTGGACTGGAGGCCGGGGATTTATGGAATACCACAGGCATGCTTGAGCGCTGACTGTATGCCAACCGTTCTAGGCTCTCTGCATCCTACCAAGCCCGCTTAGCAGCCCCAGGTGGGAGGCGTCAGCTGTGCCCACATCGCAGAGGGGCAAACTGAGGCCCAGGAGTGGCAAAGCCAGAGTGGGACCCATCATCTGTGGGTGGCCCTGGGTGAGCCCTGCTCCAGCCTGAGCAGAAGTGTCTTATCCAGCAAGGACCCTGGGCCCGGCCCCCACTCCTCACCCTGGTGCCCGCTGCTCCTTTAGCCAGGGGCACAGTTCTTCATGGACCTGGCCAGCTCCCTGTCAAAGGGCAAGCTCCTCAGGGCAGCCTCCTGGCCCAGCCTTCCAGAGTACATGGGAATGTTTTTGAGACCGTTCCCTGGCATCTGTCACCATCTCCCCGGCCACTCCTCCCTCCACACCTCCCCTCTCCGGCAGGGTGCCTCCCAGCACCACCGTTCTCTTTCCTGTGCACCCACCTGCACCCTGTTCACATGTCCAACTGCTCTGGGAGCCCCAGGACAGTGGCCATCTGTCACTGCTGGGTCCCCCATGCCCAGCACAGCACCCGTGAGGTGCCCGATGGGTGACCAGCAAGTGCACGCAGGTCAGGAGAGCCCTCAGCTAGCCCTGACTCCCATCACTGTCGCAGGCCACGCAGTGGAGCCAGGCCTCTGCCCTGGCCCGAGGCCACCCCGCCTGGCCATGCCCGCCACGGATGGACCGGCCCAGCCAGTCCCCCATCCACCCTCGTCGCGTGCAGCCTAATGAGGGCCTTGGCGCCCAGATGAAAGCGCTGGGAAGGGCAGGGGATGATTCAGGCAGCCGCCAGCGGCCCTGGCCCCCTCCCCAGCGCCCTTGCCCAGCAGGGACACTGACTCCCCTGGTCTCCGGGTTATGCCCACATCCCCTGCTGTGCCTGGCTCTCCTGCCAGTCCACTAACACTGACTGCCTGCTGTGTGCTGGGCAGGCCCTGGGGATGGGGACCCCGCTTTGCCACCCGTCAGTGTGACCCTGGGGAGGTCCCGTCCCCTCTGTGGCCATGTGGGGTGTCTGGGAAGAAGCAGAGGGGCCCCCAGTCAGGCCGCCTGACGATTTTGTGATGTCAGGGGTCTGGAGGTCAATCTGACCTCTGCCCCCATGCAGCTGGGCCTGCCCCAACTCTTCTGGAGCCTCAGTTTCCCACCTGCTGATGGAGCGGCCCCGCCCGCAGGACTGTTCCACACGGACCCTCTCCACCCCTGAGCCGGGGCCCCCACTGCAGCCGTCGCTGTAACAGTCCAGCCCTCCCACGAGGCGGGCTGCGTCCATCGCACAGTCGGGGGAAACTGAGGCCGACGCTGCGCAGAGGAGCCTCGGGGACTCCCCCGCGGGCGCAGGTCCCCGTTATGCCGCTGGCCGCCCCCCCCACCCGCCGCCCCGCACTCACTGTCCTGGCCGTGGCGCCAGCGGGTGCCCTGCACGCGGCCGCCCGGGTCCACGCGCAGGAAGAAGTGAGTGGCGGAGAAGAGGCGCCGCCAGCGCACGTCGCCCTCCAGGTGCGGGTAGCTGCGCGGTCTCCGCGGCGCGCTCGGCGTTCTCGTGGCGCCCGGCGCCCGCGCCAGCAGCAGCCAGGCCAGGCCCAGCCACAGGCGGCGGCGCATGGCCCGGAGCCCGGTCCGCAGCGGGCTCTGCGCTCCCGGGGTCCGCGGGTCTACCTTCGCCCGGCGGGGCCAATGGGACGCCTCGGGGGCGGGGCCGGCAGCGGAGCTGACCAATGGGGCTCCCCGGGGCGGGGCCGGCAAAGGGGCTGACCAATGGGACGCCTCGGGGGCGGGACGCTCGGCCTCCGCGCGTGTGTTTGTCTCGCGGGGCGTGTCCGTGAGTCAGCCGAGTCCCCGGGCTGCCGAGGACCTCGGGCTGCGGGGGCAGGAGCGTGAGACGCAGGCCGCAGAGATCCGGAGGGAGACAGAGACACGAGGCGGAAAAGGACCACGGGGAAGATGGCAAGGAGAGACAGACAGGTGGCCGTGCCGGGGGACAGAAGGACGCGGAAGGTCCCGCCCTCCGCAGCCCCTGCCAGCCGGGCTCCTGGGCATGCCGTGGCGGGACCTCTCCCCCCAGATGGTACTTTCCTGAAAGCCAGGCTCACCAGAGTTGGGGATGCGGGTGCATGGGCAGGCGACGGCTGGGGACCTGTGTTTGGGCAGGTAGGTGGACCTGCGGGTAGCCGGCTGGCAGGGCACATCGGAGGCGGCAGGAATGCGGCGGCCCTGTTCACACCCACACTTGCTCCTCACTTAAAGCCACACCCCAGGACTCACGGGGAACCACCCAGCAAGGTGGTTCGCCCCCACCTTTCCCCTGCCTGCCTCCATGCCCTGGGCCCCAAAAGGTGAGCCCAGTGCCCCTCACAGACTCACGGCCAAGAGGAGGCATTGACAAGTGGGGAAACCGAGGCCTGAGAGGGACAGCGACCTCCAATGTGGGGAAACGGCACAACCCCAGATTCCATTCCCTTCCCTTGGCTCCCAGCAGCCCAGTCCTGTCCTGTGGCCACAGCCCCAGGTGGCACGTGCCTTTAAATAGCACCAGGGTGAAGACATGGCGACCAGCCTGTCCTGCCGGGGAATGCTCTGCAGGGACAACCGGTCCAGCTGGACGCCAGGATGCCTTCCTTGTGGCTCAGGGATCTGCTGACCCTCTCCTCCTGGCTTAGGCAGGTCACACGGAGGGTGTGGCAGATGCCACAGTCTCAGGGCCCTGCTACTGAGATGAGGTCGGGGTCCCTGTGTCTGAGGTCCAGCATGGCCTGGCTTCCCCCACTAGAGCCCTGTGGCCGGCACCCCAGGGACCCTGCAAGCCTTGCTCCACCGCCCCAAGCTTCGGTTCCGCCTCCGTAAAATGGGCCGATAAAGAGCCTTCTGGAGGAATAAAATGAGACCCTCCATGGAGCACGCTGGGCAGAGGGCACAGCAGCAGGCACTGAAGAAACGTCCTCCATCTTCTCGCCAGCAGGAGCCCAAGCCTTCCTTCCCGGAGTATCCGTGCCCGCCCAGAAGGGTAATCTGGGGCCCTGTGTTGAAGGACAGGGCATGGGACACACACCTGGGAGGCCGGCCCCACCCCAGGCGACTGTTTCTTTAATGCGTCCTCGAAAACATCATTCATATACCACAAAATTCACCCACTTACACCCTGTGGCTCAGTGATTTTAGTACCTCACAGAGCTGTGCAACTACCACCACCATCTAGTTCCAGAAAATTCCATCACCCCAAGAAGAAGCCCCTTCCCCATCAGCCGTCACTCCCCATCCCCTCTGCCTGCCCCCGGCACCCACACATCCCCTTCCTGCCTCTGTGGACAAGCCTGTCCCGGACATTTCATATAAAGGGAGTCACATGCTGAGTGGCCTTCTGTGTCTGACTTAGCTCACTGGGCGTGACGTCATCAAGGTGCATCCATGCTGTGGCGGGCGTCAGAGCCTCTCTCCTTTTCACGCCTGTAAATCCCAGCTGCTCAGGAGGCTGGGGCAGGAGAATGGCTTGAACCCAGGAGGTGGAGGTTGCAGTGAGCTGAGATCATGCCTGGAGCCTTCAGAAGCTGGGAGAGGCAGGAAGGAGCCTTCGGGGTCTCTGGAGGGAGCAAGGTCTGCACACGACTTGATTTCAGCCCAGTGTTTCCTGGTTTAGGACTTCCCGTTTCCAGAAATGTAAGAAAATGAATGTTGCCTTGGCCTGGCGCGGTGGCTCACGCCTGTAACCCCAGCACCTTGGGAGGCCGAGGTGGGCGCATCACAAGGTCAGAAGATAGAGACCGTCCTGGCTAACAGGGTGAAACCCCATCTCTACTAAAAATACAAAACACTAGCTGGGCATGGTGGCACACACCTGCTGTAATCCCAGCTACTCCGGAGGCTGAGGCAGGAAAATCGCTTGAACCCGGGAGGCAGAGGTTGCAGTGAGCAGAGATCGTGCCATTGCACTCCAGCCTGGGCGACAAAGTGAGACTCTGTCTCAAAAAAAAAAAAAATTAAAAAAACAAAATGAATGTTGCTTTAAGGCACCAAGTTTGTGGTCATTTGTCACAGGGTCTACAGAGACCGGGGGCCATCCCCTTGCATCTAGCGATTCTCGACTTTCTGGGGCTTGTTTTGTTTGGTTCTGTTTTTTTTTTTTTTTTAAGACGGGGTTTCACCACGTTGATCAGGCTGGTCTTGAACTCCCGAACTCAGGTGATCCGCCTGCCTTGGCCTCCAAAGTGCTTGGATTACAGGCGTGAGCCACCGCGCCCGACTTTTTTTTTTTTTTTTTTTTTTTTGAGACAGTCTCCCTCTCTTGCTTAGAAGGGAGTGCAGTGGCACCATCTCAGCTCACACCTCCGCCTCCCAGGTTCAAGTGATCCTCCTGCCTCGGCCTCCCAAGTAGCTGGGATTACAGGCACATGCCACCATGCCCGGCTAATTTTTGTATTTTTAGCGGAGATGGGGTTTCACCATGTTGGCCAGGCCAGTCTCAAACTCCTGACCTCAGGTGATCCCAAAGTGCTGGGATCACAGATGTCAGCCCCCATGTGCGGCTGAGAGTAACTTTCTTGCTGCTAAGATTCGGGAACCTGGCTTTTGGGGAAACACTGGTTTGGGGGATCTGATGTCTCATCAAACAGAAGAAACGACTAACCCATAAAGAATGGTGAAATAGGCCGGGCGTGGTGGCTCACGCACTTTGGGAGGCCAAGGTGGGTGGATCACGAGGTCAAGAGATCGGGACCATCCTGGTCAACATGGTGAAACCCCGTCTCTACTAAAAATACAGAAAATTAGCTGGGCATGGTGGCGCGTGCCTGTAATCCCAGCTACTCGGGAGGCTGAGGCAGGAGAATTGCCTGAACCCGGGAGGCGGAGGTTGCGGTGAGCCGAGATCGCGCCATTGCACTCCAGCCTGGGTAACAAGAGCGAAACTGTATGGAAAAAAAAAAAATGGTGAAGTAGTTCAGAAGTCTTGGTTTCCACCTAGGTTCCTGGCTTTGCCAGCCTGCAGGAGTGCAGGGGACGTCTGTAGGTCTTGGGACAGCAGGCCCTGCTCATTCAGGGACAGGAAGGTAACCCCAGTAGTGAATGAGGTCTGAGGTCACAGCCCGCTGGGGCACCCTGGGGTGGACTGAGGCGGGTGAGGGAGGATGCTGCTGTATGTTGAAAACATTCCCAGCCAGTGGCGTCAGCGCGCCCAGGCTGGCGTGGGCAGCAGCCTCTGGAATGTGCCAGGCGCTTCCAGAGTGAGGTCCAGTCCTCAGTCTGGGCTGATGGGGAAAGTGATGACAGCTTGAGCCGAGGGCCCCCAAGCGCCAGTGTGGTCGTCCCCAGCCCCACTCTGCTGAAATTGCTCCTCCGTTCACACTCGTTCCTGCCTCAGGGCCTTTGCACTTGTTTTGTTTCCAGACAGGGTCCTGCTCTGTCACCCAGGCTGGAGTGCAGTGGCATGATCTCAACCCACTGCAGCCTCAACCTCCTGGGCTCAAGTGATCTTCCCGCCTCAGCCCCCACAAGTGCCTGGGACCATAGGTGTGCACCACCATGCCTGGCTAACTTTTTGTTTGTTTTTGAAAGGGAGTCTTGCTCTGTCACCCAGGCTGGAGTGCAGTGGCAGGATCTCCACTTACTGCAACGTCTGCCTCCCAGGTTCAAGTGATTCTCCTGCCTCAGCCTCCCAAGTAGCTGGGACTGCAGGTGTGTGCCACCACACCCAGCTAATTTTTTGTATTTTTAGTAGAGATGGGGTTTCACCATGTTGGCCAGGCTGGTGGTCTCAAACTCTGGACCTCATGATCCACCCGCCTCAGCCTCCCAAAGTGCTGGGATTACAGGCTTGAGCCACCGAGCCTGGCTCTTCCCCGGGCCACTTTGGTAGAGACTGGATCTCACTATCTCAATTGCCCAGTCTGGTCTGGAAATCCTGGGCTCAAGCGATCCTCCTGCTTCAGCCTCCCCAGGTGCTGGGATTACAGACTTTAGGCACCAAACTGGCCTCCCGTTGCACTTTTTATTTTTTGAGATGGTGCCTCGCTCTGACATCCAGGCTGGAGTGCAGTGGCGAGATCTTGGCTCACTGCAACCTCTGCCTCTGGGGTTCAAGCGATTCATCTGCCTCAGCCTCCTGAGTAGCTGGGATTACAGATGCTTGCCACCACCCCTGGATAACGTTTGTATTGTTACTAGAGACGGGTTTTCACCATGTTGGCCAGGCTGGTCTCAAACTCCTGACCTCAGGTGATCTGCCTGCCCTAACCTCCCAAAGTGCTGGGATTACAGCATGAGCCACCGAACCGGCTCCCCTTTGCACTTGTGACATCAGCTTAAACACAGTTACCCCGAGATATTCCTAATCTCACCCATCACATGCCAGCTGCCCCCAGAGCCGGTGCTCCCCACTCTGGCCTATTCCCCCAGCTGAAGGACATAGGTGGCCACACCTTCCAGGCTCCATTCTAAAGCTCCGGCCCTGCTTGTCCTGGGGAGGAGGATGGGGAGACCAGGACAGGCTCCAGGCCCCGGGGGTTATTTCATTCCCATGACCTTGCCCCACTTAGCAGGTGAATCCACGCCTGCCCGCTGCTCCATTCTGCCCCTGCCCCTGAGGGCTTGGGGACTGGAGGGTAAACTGATGCTGGAGGCTGGAAGTCTCGTGGA